GAACTACCAGTGCAAAAATGCTAACTTATTTGTGGGCTTTAGGAGTCAGTCCTGAGCATTCTCAGAACCCATCAGCTGTATTTGGTGTCTGACTTCCGGCAGACGGAGATACAGTCTCTGGGGAGAGACCCCCGATTTTTTGGCATTCTGGTTCGATTTGGGCGGAGGAGGCGAATTTCCGTTTCCGACTTCCGTTTATATATAAGTAAATATGCTGAACCATTGCGATGGATTCAGTTTACAGTGACACCAATTATGTTCCGCCTCGTTAGTTCACCGCATGAACCGTTTAACCTAGCAACAACTGCAGCCGGCTCAAACGTGATTGGTCAATATCACACGGACTACAAACAGCCTACAAACGGAAACCAGGGCTCTTCTTCTGGGCTCTTCTTCCGGAGGCAAGATCTCCGGGGTTTGCCTACAGACTCTACATTCACTGAATGTAGAGTATGTATATAGAGACTAAGTCCTGGGTAACTCTATTGAGTTACGTTATGATGCGTTCAAGCTCTATTTAGTAAAAATAAGTTTTGCGCAAAGGTCAATTATACCATTCTAATGATGTGTTCAATGTAATCTTTAGAATTTAGTTTTGGTAAGAAACTTGTATAAATACAGTTGTTTATAAAAGAAATTTGTTAATTTTTTCACAGCAATATAAAATAGAAATTAGAGTAAATTTAGAATCAGAATCAGAAATACTTTACTGATCCCTGAGGGGAGATTACCCTCAGAATTACATACATATAGTAAAAAGGCTTTCAAAGCAGTTTTTTTTTTTTATGTTTTTCATGTGAAAGAAGGTTATATTAAATGTTGCTTCATAAATGTGTATGATTAAATGTGTACTCATTCAAAGGTAGTTTAATGAAGGGCTTAAATAGGCTACTCCAAAACAGTTAGCTATTTTTTACAGAGTAGATTTCTCTGTTTCCCTGGCACAAAAAATGGAATAAATAACAACAAAACAAAATAAACAACAATATAAAAACACTGTTATCGGCTATCGGCCATCGGCCAAATTGTTACTTTTGTACGTTGGTGTTTAATTTAAAAATCAGTGCATCCCCAGTAGCATAATCTAAGAAGATCACATGCCATGAATTTGGTTGTCTCTATCCCGTGGAATCCTGCGAATCCTGTGGTAGTCTGCCTGCTCGACCCCTGACTTTCAAGCTACCTGGTCAGAGGTGCTTAAAATAGGCGTAAAAAAGGGAAAACACTAAGCTGTGTCACCAGCACTGCTCAACCTTTCCAATTACTTTGCTGCCTGCCCAATGAGGCCCCTGCACACCAAGCGGGTGGCCCTATGGCTCTAAGCTGCCAATATCAAACATGGGACTGGCGCTGCAGTCATGTGACAGCAGTATAGTTTGCTTAAAGCCTGACAGTACCTTTTTACCTCTGGTGAGTGTATTTAAGCGTCATGAACTTGTGCTTGCCGCAGAGCTTGTTTTCTGCAATTATCCAAAATCCAAAAAGTATAATCCAAACAAGCTTTCTTACGAGGAAGTCAGGGTGACGCTAACTTCTACATCAGCCTACAAAAAGAAGTCATCCCTGTGGCGCCTGTAACCCACAGTGCTTGACAGCTTTGTGTGCAAACGATTCCAACACTCAGAACTAACATTAGCTACATCTGCTCACACCAGCGTAATGTTATATTATTATACATACATGTATACAATGTGGCTCTTGACCACATCCCTTACATAAGTGAGCTTTTTAACCGGGGTACCAGTCGGATTGTATCTATCTGTTGCTCATGCTAACCCATTGCAGGATATTTATGCCGCTGTAGTGTTCAGTGTTTGCAAGATGTAATATTCAACAGAAATAAATAAAATAAACGAGCAGTCCTCTGCCTGTAGGCTCGGTCCCTAATAATAGCAGAAACAGTATGCAATTCACATACTGTTGAATAATAAATGGTGGCATATGTAACATATGTAAGCCATTACACCACTGGAATTCATCTGAATGCACACACACACACACACACACACACACACACACACTCCTGATTGAGAGTGTGTTTTGTTTGTTTGGTGTTTAGCCAGGCCTTATCACAAACTACTTATGTGTTATACTCCATCAAATTCTCTCACCAGCACACACACGCACGCACGCACGTGCGCGCACATGCGCGCGCACACACACACACACACACACACACACACATAATGCAAGCTATCCTCATACATTTTATGAACAATAAGCACAAATAAAAATTTGAAAGTTACTTTGGTGTGCAAAATATATTATATAATATTCTACTCTAAAGTAGTGTACAGTAGACCGTTAATGTACAGCAAGACTTGATGAGAAGCATTCTTGTTGAAGCAAACAGACCTGAGGTCAGCTGATGGCATTAGAGAACAGTAATACTCAGCTAATCTTTATCCCGCTGACCAAAATAGTCACAGTCTGCTCAGTAGGCTACAAATTACTAACACCTTTGTTGGTGTGGTTGTCATAGGCTGTTTTAAACACTTAATTAGCCAATTACTAGAATTACAAAATCTTCTGAAGTAAAAATCAGTATAAAACAGCAGAGAACAAGGTATGCAGGTTGACTTTAAATGCAATGTAAGTTGAGTTTTTCAGTATGATCCAGATTGACAGCAGTCTTTGCAGTATACTGGACTTTATACAGCCATATAATAGAACAATGATCGTTCATCGAATATTCTCAGCATCCACACAGGCCATTTCAGTGAGCTGATAACTAGGGCTGTACCCGTTTTGATATTCAACAATTTGTTTTATTTTTCCCTATAAAGTTTTAAAGTTTGAAAAGGTTCAGCGGTACTTTCACATAATATGGTAAACAAGCTAGCAAAAAAAAGTTTAGAAAAATAAATAAATAAATAAATAAATAAAAGACTGCTTGATTTGAGGCAATCTCAGTTGACTGAGGGGTGTCCAACTGATGATTTGAATCTCCAGCTGTCAAGGGGCAGCTCTAGAGATAACATGTATATGGTGTCATGTCGGGCATTTTTTTTTTTTTTTGGTCAGTCAGCGTGCAGTGTATCTGCAACCATTCACAGTCAGATACAAAGGACTGATTATGTACTGCTGAATTACAGCTCACAACTCGCACCAATGGCTGACAGTTTACTAGCCTGTTGCTGATGTGGCATTTGAGGATCATTACAAGCATGGCCATTCCTGGCTTTCAATGTCCAGAACTCTACCACTAACATTTCATTACGTCTCGTCAGGTCAACAAAAATGAAACACTGATTTTGTCTTAGTTTTTATTTTCAAGATCTATTTTTAGCTTGTAATCATCTCATTGTTATCATGGTTTTCGTCAATGAAATTAACACTCGTGGACTCCTGTTTAGATGCCTTGAGTTCAGCATTATGGCCGTCACCATCTTGGTTTTTTGGAGCCAGAAGTCACCATATTTGAGCGAGAGGCTGGAGCTGTGGAGGAGTGAGGGGTGGATCAGACTGAGAAGCTGAGGACACTTTCGGCAGACAGCTTGTCGCTTATATGGTGTCATGTAGGGCTTTCTTTTTTTGTCAGTCAGCATGCAGTGTATCTCTAGGGACGTTTTGGTCTTCAGACTTAGCTGCAGAGTGAGCTCTCCTCACTGTAATGCTGCTCACAACACAGGAAGCTGCATACGTGGATGCAGCTGCCCTAAGCTTGCCCAGTCATGCTCCAAGATAACATTAACATCTGCCTTCTGTTATCAGCAGACAGCTTGTCACTCCAAGTGGTTGAACCTGTTTATGCATGACTTTAAGTCTTCATAAAATGTAAACTGGCGAGTTTTAAAAAAAAAAATAACCCCCTGTACAATTGTCATGGATGTTGAAATAAGCTATAGAGACCAAAACCATTTTTTGTACAAGGCTGTAAACATACTAATTGCTGCTGTAAAGTTGGGCATTTTAACATGGGGGTCTATAGGAACTGACTGTCTTCTGAAGCCAGTCTCAAGTGAATGTTCAAAGAACTGCAGTTTTTAGTACTTCCATGTTGGCTTCATTTTTCAGCCCTTGAGGTGCCGCTTGGTAGCTGAAAGGAATACTTCACCCCCAAAATTACCATTTGTAAAATAGTTGCCGTGTTACCTAGACTTTGTGAAGAAAATGTTTTTCACATATGCCTCCACGAAAATTGCCATATATCAATATATTGATCGATTGATTGACTGGGGACAATATTTAACAACAGCAAAACTATCAAAACATCTGTTTACAAACTCTTGCAAAAACAAACTCTTACAAAACTAGTTCAGTATAACCCATCCATAATCCATAAGTCTCATTTGTCCAGTCGTGTGATCAGTACTTCACAAACACATGAGTTGCCTGAGAGTTTGTAAACAGACATTTTGATATAGTTTTGCTTAAATGCAGTCCCCAATCAATCAGAAAATCAATATAGATGTTAAAATGTTTTCTTCATGTATTCAAGTATGACTCACTGATATTTAAATGGTGTTTCAAATAAAAAAGAAAACCATGAGACAGAAATGTTTACTTGTTTAGCTATTAATTACAGAGCATTGTTTTGTTTTTCAATGAAATGAATGTCCAATGAAATACGGGATCCACAAACACATTAACATGTAGGCTATTGTGCCTGTTTAAAAATGAGACCATTATTTCGATATCTCTGTAGGAATATAATCGCAGCATAATTGCAGGCACCACACACAGGTCTGCAAGGAATGCCAAGATTCCTTCATGCTTTCTAATCATCTGTCGAAGTGACTAGGAGGACTATATGTGAGTGAGAAGACAGCCACCCAGCCTGACTCGTTGTTAATACGTTCTGTGCTTTGTGTTCATGCAGATAATCTCCACCTACTAGCTTTATTAAATTACGAATTAAACTACTAATTATAATGCTTATTATATAATGTTCCTATACCTTATAGTCATAACGCTGACGTAGATAACTAACTAACTATAGAAGTCCATTGTTTAAAGCTGTTTAGGCTTGTTTTTGGCTGTTCCGATGTGGTACTCACCGTAGTGGGAACCGTACGGGGCAGCTCTAGCGGCTGTCTCGCTCTGTATGGCGGCTGAGCGGCTCGGGGAGTAACGGTGGGGCGCCATGGTGCGCGGTGCTGCCGGTGGTGGAAGTAAAAGACGTACGTTGTAGCACCTGTTCCTTAGCCATACCGCCCCTCCCCCTGGAGATCTACTCTATGCTCGCGCTGTCTCAGAGACGCCTGTGTGATATTGTTCCAGACTCCAACTGCACACCTTGCAAGCTTATTTTAGTTCAGTTCAGTATTTTTTTTGTAGTTCACTACTGCTTGGTTATCTCTATCTGATGTTAATGACAGGTCACATAGATTTCAGTAACAAGAGAAACTGATTTAACTCTGACCAACAGTCCAGAAATCATTAATTTGCATCACATTGAATCATGCAGTATACTGACATTGAAAAAACTTAACCCGGTATTATTACTCATCATTAGCCTGCAACCATCTTTTGATAAAATCTACAAAGCACTGATACCTATGTGTACATTAAGTCCTCTGGTTTTACAAACAGATACACTTTGCCTGCTGTTTTAGAGAAATGAGAAATGTGGCCTACGCAGATAGATGGATTCAAATTCAATTCAATTTTATTTTATTTATAAAGCCCAAAACCACAAATCACAATTTGCCTTAGATGGCTTAACAGTATACAGCGCCCCTCTGGCCTTGGACCCTCACAGCATGTAAGGAAAAACTCTCTAAAAACCCTTTAATGGGGAAAGAATAGCAGAAACCTCTGGAAGAGCAACTAAGGAGAGATTCCTCTTCCAGGACATACAGACACACAATAGATGTCTGTGTACAGAACAGATCAACATAATAAATGTACAGTGATCCATATGACAAAATAATACACTGAGAGAGAGATGGAGAGAGAGAGAGAGAGAGAGAGAGAGATGCACAACAGTAATGACAATAGCCATAATAACATTTATCTTAGCAACAATATGATGATAATAATAATAATAATGATAATAATAATAATAATAATAGTATTTTGGTAGTATATATGTATTAATATATGACAGTATATGTATGTAACAATAATAATCATATGTGTATGATAATAGTAGAAGTATGACAATAATAACACCCCCACATAGATGTGAAAGTGTTGCATAGTAATTAAGATATAGTCTGCACTACCTTTAAGAATTTTATAGCTTATGATTATAGATTTGTGTACGTTATATTTTAGTCATCTACAAGATAATATATGATATTATAGATCAGCAAATTTGCAATTCATATTGTAACCACATCAAACACATCTTTCAAGAGGGTACTCCACAGATTTGCACATCAAAGTCTGCTTACAGGTATTGGGGAGTACTGCCATTACCTCTATTACAACTACGCTTGCTAGTACTACTATGTGAACAGAAGTAGGGTTAAGCCTGTAGTGTCTCAAGAGAGAACTGTGTGAAGTATGATAAACTGAAGTGATGTCCTGGGTCTGTCCCAGTTGGGTCTGAAGAAGTTAAAACATTACAATGCAGATCTTTTATTAAACTGTGGTCATGCTACATGATATCCTCTCTCTCTCTCTCTCTCTCTCTCTCTCTCTCTCTCTCTCTCTCTCTCTCTCTCTCTCTCTCTCTCTCTCCCTCCCTCTCTCTCAAATTCAAATTCAAATTTGCTTTATTGGCATGAAAGTTACTAGAACTATGTTGCCAAAGCATTAATAATCAATGAAACAAAACAAAATATAAAAATCACAAGTTAAAATATATATAAATAAGATGAAACTTAAAAAAAAAAAAAGTCAAGAGAATAATGAAAAAACAAAAACACAATCTATCTCGGCTGGGGTGAAACATGTCTTGATTTGTGACATGCAGTAATATATTCTCCTGACAGTTCTACAGCAAAGCTGTCTTCTCCCAGAAGGATCTGACTCAATTTGTCTCCTTGGAGGGTGAGGAAGTCTGGAATTTTCTCTTTGAATTTGGGATAGAAATCTCTGATTTCTTTGTATTTTGGGCAACTTGTGAGAAAGTGAGTTTCTGTCTCTACTGCTGTTTCACAGTGGACACAAATTATTTTTGTTCTTTCTAGCCATTCTCTTTTATGGTGAACAGTTTCAATGGCAAGTTTATGGTCACTGAGTCTATATTTAGTTAGGGTTTGTCTTTTTATTGGGTGTTTTATTTGGGTTAAATATTGGGCCAACTGAAATTCTCTGTCCAGTAAGTTATAGCATTCTAATTTATTGATTGTTTGGGATTCTGTTTTCCATTGTTTGAAATATTTTAGTTTATTCGCTTTGTCAATTTGTTTTATTTGTGAGTATAGAATTATTTTTGTAGCACCACTTTGACTTTGTGTATGCTCTGTGCTGGTATTAGTCTGAATCAGACTCTATCAAGTGGTTCCAAAATTTGATAGTTCTCTTTTTAATTTAATTAAGAGGGGGAACTGGTCAAGCTCTGCTCTGCAGCCGTGGTCTGGACAGTTTCTGTGGACTCTCAGTATGTTTTTGCAGAATTTAAGATGCACTCTTTCAACTGGGTTTGAGTCTCAGTGCTCTTGTTTAAGTAACGGGCCCCAAACTTCACTTCCATATAGGAGGATTGGTTCAATAACACTTTGGAAAATTTTAAGACAAACCTTGACTGGGGGGTTTAATTTAAATAGGACTTTTCATATGCTGTAATACGCTCTATGATCTTTATCTGCCAGTGCACTCATAGCCTTGACAAAGTGTCCTGAAGCAGTGAAAGTTAGGTCTAGTTAAGTATATTCCATTTGTGTGACTCAGTGTTGTCTCTCCCAGAGTAAATTGATACTTTTTAGATTGTGATCTTGCTTTCTTTTGAAATATCACAATTTTAGTTTGATCTAGGTTTACTCTGATTGCCCAGTTTTCACAGTAGTCATGAAGTATGTCCAGATATTCTTGCATTCCTTGTTCTGTTTGTGACAACGGTAGGAGATCATCTACATAAAACAGACACTTGACTTCCTTTCCCTCCAAGTCAAGTCCTGGGGCTGAAGAGTTTTCAAGTAGTTTTGGTAATTGGTCAATGTATATATTGCAAAGTGTCAGGGATATATTACAACCTTGATGGACCCCGCGACACTGTTAGAAAATGAATGCGCTGTAGAAGAACAGATTTTTTCAGAGTATTTACGTTTAATTAGATCATAAACTTTGCCTCCAATACCATTTCTGAGTAACTGATAGAAATGAAAATTTTGCCAAATCGAATCAAAAGCTTTCCTGAAATCAACAAAGCAAGCATACATTTCCCCTTTATTTTTTTGATGTACATGTTTTTTGGATTAGAGTATGGAGAGTAAATATGTGATCTGTTGTTCTATGTTTGGGTATAAAGCCAATTTGGGATTTACTTAATACATTACTATCGATCAGGTAGGACAGTATTCTTGAATTTAATATGCTACAAAATAGTTTCCCGAAATTAGAATTTACACAGACACCCCTATAATTATTGGGATTTAGATTGTCTCCATTTTTAGAAAATAGGAGTAATCACTCCCTTATTCCAGGGTAAATTCCACTTCTTAACACCAAATTAAATAATTTTAGTATAACCAGTTTAAGTTTATTACTACTGTGTTTCAACATTGATACCATTAATACCACAAACCTTTCCATTTTTAAGATCAGCCAGTAGTAATTACACTGTCCAAAGCATTTTGGTTGTCTTTTATTGCATTTTCTAATGATTTTATTTTGTCAATTGTGGGCATCTGATGTGTGTTTAAATCATAGTTTTCTGGATTTTGATATACATTTGAGAAATAGTTTTTCCAAACGTTGCCATTCTGAATTTTAATGCTATCTTTATTTTTGGTTGAATTCAATTTTTCCATAGGTTTCATAAAGAATTTTGGTCCATTGCCTTTTCAGTTTTAATTAATCTGTCCTCAGTGTATTTGGCCTTTTTTGGTTGATAATTTTCTTGTATGGTTTAAGGGCTGTGTGGTATTCATGGCACAGTTCTTGGTTTTCGGGATTGTTGTGTTTATTGTTTGACAGGTTTCTGAGATGCTTTCTGAAAAAGGAACATTTACTGTCAAACCATTGTTCTTTTCTTGCTTTTTGTTTGATTTGGTGTTTGGTCTTTTCATTTTGGCCTCTTTTGCTATTTCATAAATATTGGATTCAAATCTTTAGTGGCCAAATTTATGCTATCTTTATTTAGCAGGTATTGGTTACACAGAGCGTTATCTAGCATGGTTTGTATATTAGTGTTGCTAAATGCATTAGTGTAATCAGTGAAACTTTTCTCTGCCCACTGTGGCTGTGGTAAGACTGTGAATGCATTTATATTTTCTAGGTAGATAACTGCGATTGCATAATCAATGACACTATTTCCCAAGATAGAGCAGTACTGTAGGTAAACGTGCCCAGGGATTCTCCTCGTGTTCTACCATTAGCAATGTAAAATCCCAGGGCTTTGCACATTTGTAAAACTTCTTTTCCACTCTTATTCACTATACTATCATAGCTATGCCTATGTGTTGTGATGGTGGGTTGGTATAGAGGGGATACATCTAAATGATCATTGCCGTCTGTATCTGTAAAATCTTTCTCCTTGCCAGCTCTGGCATTGAAATTTCCACATAACAATACAGAGCCAAGTGACTGGAAGTGAAGAATTTTTTTCTGGATTTCATGAAGATATTCTTCTAAATAATATGGGCAGTTTGAAGGTGGTAAATAGATAGCACACCGATTAACATCTTGAGTGTTTTCAAGAAGTCCTCTGCTGATTTTTAGCCAGATATGTGTTTTCCCTTTTTTGACTGGCAATATGTAATTGTGATGTTCCCGTTTATACCAAATAATTATGCCTCCAGATGTCTTCCATTTTTTATGTGGGAATATTTTAAAGAGGCCAGACTCAGTTCATTATAGTTACTTGGGCAGTTTGAAGGAGTGTTATCATGTCTCTCTCTCTCTCTCTATATATATATATATATATATATGTATGTATGTATGTATGTATGTATACTATACTGCTTCCCCCCCAAAAAAACTTCAAGGTCAAGCAAGGAAATGACAAGAGACTTGGGGTGTACCTACTGAGTGCCTTTAGC